AAAAAAAAAAAGCTACCACACGTAAGGGCTGGGTTCGAACCCACGACCTCACACACGGGAATGGTTATAAAGACCACTTCACCACACGCCATTATGCAACACTTAATGAAAACTTTTTAACTAAATTTCTAACAGAGCCTGCGAATTTTGAAATAAAAGAACAGAGGACGAAATTGCAAGCAGAGTGACAACAATTCCAAACAGATACTCATACAAAACACAGTCTGAACAAAATTTGACCAAATTCGACGGCTTCATATTAAACGGCAACTGGGATCGAGAGGTTACCAACAATAACATATTTTCAAAGTTCCGAAATATATTTTTAACAACCGTTTTGGCTCGAAAATGGAACAACCATATATATATACAAAAAAAAAATGAACAACGGGATTCGAATGAACCGAACAACCTAACGACGACTCGAAACAACAAAACGAGACTCCGAACTTATACATATTTCTCACAGTAACATAACGGTATTCACGTTTATGAAATCGAGAGTTCCAATCACTTCCGAAAATTGACGAATAAACAAAATATACACACAACAATTAAATGAACTAAAAGAAATTCGACTTCAAATCAACTTTCGGTGGACCGAACACATCACATATATAACATGCGATATATGAAAACAACCGCAATAAGGAGAGGATTCGAATAAGTTACCCGACTTCGGGAAACTACGAGTTATCAGACGGGAAACGGGCCCGACAGCGGGTCAGACGATTGGCTTCGGGACTCGGAATCTTCCAACACAGTTCTGAGGGCTGCTGGACGGAATTGATGATGGCGGGTGAGGCTCAGTTGCTGATCACCGGACGAAGGTGCCGTTCGGAGATTGCCACCGCTGGCAGTCGTCGCCGGAATTTGCAGGTCGCGTGATGAACTCGTCGGTGGTCCCGCTTTTCTGGACGCTCACGGTGGCCGAGAGAAGCGACTAGGGGTGATCGATATGATGGCGAGGAAGGGAGCAGCGACTCGTGGAGGAGCTGAAATGGTGGTATCTCGCCGGCGACGATGGAGGTGCCGGCGGGATTTGCAGGTTCTATTTTTATTTTTATTTTTTTTTGTAGCAGCAGGTACTGCGAGCGATAAATGGAATGATTTCAAATGTTTTAAAAAAATATCCTCCTCGGTCAAGATATAACGGAGCGAGAGGGAGATAGGAGGAGAACGTGAGCTCAAAATTCGTAACAACTGATTTGATCCGTTGGTGATGAGGACTCGGTCGTCTGGAGCAGAAGAAAATATCTGCTCATTAACTCTTGTTGGGCCTCATTTTATAATCAAATGGGTTACTAAATAAAATATTATTTGGGCCAAGTAATAACAAGTAGTTTGGGCCAACAATAACAGGCTGAAAACTGAAAGGGGTAGGAGAATACACGCGATAACAAGAATTTTTGCTCGATTCGATTTAATAGAATATGGCCCGAAATAAATAAATAAAACCTGATTATTTATACTTATAATACACGCAATATATATTTATATAATAATAGGCATTTAAAATACTTAGACATTTAATCACAAATAATTATTTACTAATAATAATAATAATAATAGTAATAATAATAATAATAATAATAATAATAATAATAATAATATAAATAAGCAACAATAATGACAATAATAAACTAATAAATATTCTCAAATAATTCAAATTCAAACGGGGCGTTACAACTGAAGTCATTAAACTCTAATTCCCTAACTCAGAAATATGCAGAAAAATGCAGAAAAAATTATAAAGATTCAAAAAAACCTAATAAGCCATAATCCTAAACCCTAATTCCCTAATTCCATAATCAATCAACTTCATGGTTTCCAAATTCAGAAAAATTAAACCTAATAAGACATTAAACCCTAATTCCCAATTAAAACAATCAACAGGCTTAAAGCAATTACCATAGATACATGTAAACTAGGCTTACCAATCGATTTTTGCACCTGTAGAACCTTCTACCCGAATTTCGATAGGTATTAGAGGTCAGCAATTCGGCCTCACCATGGATACATGTAAATTTTGATGTTGTACTCCTAGATGAGCTGGATTTGGTTGACATTTTTCCTACTCCTTCTCTGATGACGAAAACCCAACCCCAAAAATTTTCTCCTGCAGATTGAAGAAGGGTTCATCGACTGATTTGGGGATTTAATCAGCAATTTACCACTCTAAAAAACGTCGTTCGATCTGAGGTGGAAATAAATACTCAGATATCGAAACGACGTCGTTTTGATCTGACGTGGATAAAAAGAATTAAAACGACACCGTATTGCTCGTGGTGGACTGCCAGCTAAGCCTCCACGGTGGCAAATTTAAGCCACGTCGATTTTTTTTTGGGAGCTGAGGAATTTCATGTATCGTATTTCTAAAAATTGAAGATCATGATATTGTGCGCCAAAGTCCAAACGTCGTGATTAATTTGCACTTTCGATAAAGGTGGTGATATTATGCGCAATTTTGCCTTTAAATAAATAATACAAAATGCCATTAATTTAAAATAAATATGAAAACCCAATATTTGGCGTATCACATACAGTGTCTTAGAGTCTGCAAAATTTAAGACGTAAGTGTTCAACCTTAAACATTTAGATCTTAGCCCGCTATTTTTGGAGCTATAGCGAGGGATCGCGAGGTCGGCGGCAGACCCACTGGGTGAAGTGGGACTCCATCTGTCGTCCCCACTCTGAGGGTGGGCTCGGAGTGCGTCGCTTCTCTGATATGGTTACTGCATTTTCCTACAGGATGTGGTGGCGCCTTAGGGAGGGCAAGTCCCTTTGGGCCCAATACCTCCTGAGGAAGTATTGCCATGGTGGTGCTGCTCATCCC